AGACCTCGATGCTGTACCTAATAGAGGCCTTATGAGTGCTGAGTAAAGAATGACGACTTTGTGTCCTGCAGCTCAGCATCCTATTTCTACAAGCCAATATAGGGCTGTTGCCCCCCCTTCATAATTGCCTCACGCTGTTAAAATAATAAACAGCTTGTGAACCTCTATCGTTTCTAGATCATCTTCTCAAAAACTGTTCAATACTCTCACTGTTTTCATTAGTAGTTAACTATTTCCACTTATTCACATTAGCTCCACCGCAATTAAATTGCATGGTATTTTGCCAATTGATTTCTCCCATTTGGCAAGGCGATTCTGAATTTCAATTCCTCTTTCCAATATAGTTTTCAGATGACATGAAGCTGGGAAGGATGTCAACTTTGTAAACATACGGTCTATTGCATCATCCCAGTCATTACTGAAAAGCAGTGTGCAACAGTGAGGCCAACAATCAAAATTCTAGCCCAAAAAGCCAGGGTGGAGAAGAAAAAAGCTAATCATGAAGTTATTCTCTGTTGTTAAGGCATTTACAATTATGTCAGAAAACAGGATGCAAGGAAGGAAGCTCATCTGGACAATACTCAACCACTTACCACCAAGGGTAAAGATTTTTAGCTCTTTCAAAGTATATCTCTGAGGAGGTCAGAACGAGTATGGAGTTTTGGATAAAGGATTTCATTCTTGATATTCTCCCTGTATAACAGCTTAGCACTTCTAACCAAAACATTTATTTTAAAAGAATCAACTATCTGAACATACAATTGGAAAAAATAAAAGAATGGTTTTACTTGGCTGTTGATTAGTATGACACGTTTGCTATTTGTTGTCTTTTCTTTATTACAATAGTGGATACACATGAACAGAAAAATGTTCCGCAACAGCGTAATAAGTGATACAGTGATAAACATTTTACCACTTAATTAACACTATTTTAAATTACTTGATAATTTTCATGTTTCTCAGTTTGGAATCCCAGCTCAGTTTGGGACATGCTTCAAATCTGACCGAAGAGTTCCACTGCTCCATCTGGCTAACCACATCAATAGCACCTAAAATTCCTAAAACTGTTTCACTCCATCTCTAAGACATTCATACATACTTCAAGCTTCTAGGCTGAGAAAAGAGTAAATTTTAAACCCCAAATGGACTGCAGCTAATGAATTTGCAACATACAAAGTGAGAGATTACTTCAGATTCAGCAAGAGTGTTAAGATACCCTACAGATTTCACTGGCCTTCTGCCTGTTACTGTTCCTTAATAATTTTTATTCTGTATTTTTAAACAGATTAAAAATTTTCTCTGCTTAATGTATTTAACAAATCAAAACATAATTCAAACATTAAAAAAACCCTATTCTGGTAATTCACACACTTTTAAAAAGTGCACAAACAGTAAATTTCTTCCTTGGACATACAATACATAGCACAAGTAACTTCCAGGGAGTCTCCCAGTTTTCAGTTTGTTTTCCTTGTCAAAGAAAAGTCTAACAAAAATTTTATACACTAACATGAGAACTCAAAACTACTTTAAAAACAACACTATGCTCACTAACCAACTGTAAAACTTAATTTGCCAGGAAAATATTTAAAAAGCATTCTCCATTCCTCCTTCTTTTAACTCCTGTGGAACAGGTTGTTGCTAAGACTCCTCCTCACATCAGACTGGAAAACAACCCTGAGGGCATTTCACTTGGCCAACTTTCTTAGCAATTCTCACATGATGCATGAAATATTGCAGGAGGGGCAAGAAGAGATAATCCATGCTATTCCCCAGTAAACAGTACATCACAAACAGCTGAAGACAGGCAATGGTTGTGCGTAGCAGGGATGGACTCCACCTCCATTTGAACTGAAGCACAATGCAGCCAGGCTGTGTGCATGCGGCTTGACGTCTCAGCCAACAATCAGGGAAATGAGAGAGAGCATGTCTTGCTTTTGAGTGTGATAGATTACCCAAAGTCTTAAGAACACATAAAAAAAAAAACTAAACTGTTTGCTAGTATACACAGTTTTTGTAAATCACTAAATAGCAAAGAATGCAAAGAATAAAATAGCAAAACAAGAGTCATCAAAAGACTCTTTTTTTTTTGCTCTAACAGACCATTTTTCCCACAGATATCCTTAGAAGAAATCACTACCAAAGCTACAGACCAACTTCAATACAAATGCACAAGGTCTAAAAGAGCAACCCTAAGCACCTTCTGCTTCCCTTCTGTCCTCCTCTTCTTTACGTGGAAAAATTAAAACCATAGAGTTTAAGTGGCATGCAAAAATACAGACAACTAACTCTCTTTTAGATGACAATGGGAATGGTCAAAATATTACTCTGAGAACTATTCACTTAGCTGCCCTGTAATATACTGATTATTTACCTGCGTAGTTTGAGTGGCTCATCAGAACAACTTTACCCTATGAGGTGAAACCAGAAATCCCTAACCATGTTTTCAAGTAATTTGCTATGCAGCTTCTATGTTTTAACTTATTCTTCTATTTGATAAACTTCTGTTATTCACCTCTACCTCCCTCCAAGGTCCTAACACTTCTCACTTGTCAGAAATCTTCTTTCAATTCCAAAGTAACAGACACATGTTTCATGTAAGAATTTTTACTCTTTTGATGCCTTTCTTCCACGCATGAGAAACTCTGGCTGTGCTGTCCTTACGGGATAATGCAGCCAGAATCTATAGGCAGAGATGGAGGACAGGAAACACTAGCACTAGTATCATGGGATAGTGTTATGGGTTACTCCTCTTTAATATGGTGATTTCCATCAGCTCTCATGCAGAAAGTGAACACTCCTACTCTCTAACCCATGAACACTGGATAGTGTTCTTCCTTCACAAAAGTAGCCACCAACCTCAAGCTAATACAAAAAGTAGATGGTATGCTTTCAGAAAGGCTGAGACTGACATCCAGGAAAATTCTGTGCATGAGTATCAGATTTTATCGAAAATAAAACTTTCTTTTTAAACTGGGTCAAAGCTTCAAACAATCTGCAGAAGAGAGGCGACCAAAATGGTTTCAGTTTGGAACAAACATAATTCCTTCACGACCTATTAGATTTAAACAATCACTCCTGCTCCCCCACGGTATCAAGATATTTTCTCTATTGTAGACAGCTATTTTTAAGAGATTGCATATTTCCACACCTCCTCTCTGAAGGTACTAAGGACTAATCTTGGGTGCTAACTCACACTAAGGGAAGAATAATTTGCTCTCAGAACAGAGCAACACCTGGGAAACTTACCTTATCGCTGTCTAGCGTGTTCTGTGAGGTTCGTGAGGCAATTGAAATAGTATCAGGTTGGCTGCTACCATCTCCCTGACTGTCCAGGTCCTCGCCGTCTCTGCAAATAATTCAGTTTTCGTTACAGTATTAGCATTGTTTGTAACATGTTAGTTCCCTATTTGCAACTCTAAAGAAGGGGCACCTAGACAGTATGGCAACAGACACCAGCCAGACAAACTAATGGATGCAAAAATCAAATATTCAGCACTTAATACTTTGTTCTACACTTTAAGACAACAGATTCATTTGCTCAAGGTCTACATCCTGTGGAATTAAGGCAACAACCAACAAGTCAGAACTATGGCAAGAAACTTAGACAGCCACTTAGCCAAAGCTAGCAAGCAGACTACTCAGTCACACATCTTAAGCTCCATGAAAGGAAACGAAGGACCTGAATAACACAGGCAGAATTGTAAAAATCTAAAAATGTACAGCTATCCTGTGCTGCAGTTCCAAATCCCTTCTGTAATGGCTGAATGTACACAAGTCAGGGCCTGTTCAGAGCAGAAATCTCAACAAATTCAGCATTGCAGAAAACCAGAAATTAATTATAAGATAAAGCTGGCCACAGGGACTCTTGGTTTTGTCCGATTCACCAAAAGTCATTAGAAATTCAACACTAGAGAAAGAGTACTGTTGTGTACTTGGAGATCTCCGATTATTTTAAATACTACTTACCTTCTTCCTTTCTGTTTTGTTGTTGGTGCAGTTTTGGGGATGTGGATTGGCTCTTTCAATGCTCCTTTCAGATGAATGGTCCTTTCTTGTATCACTTCCCGGATGTGTTTGATCCAGTCCTGTTTATTCTCTATACTGGATGCCTTTGATATGCAAAAGAAACAAAGCCCCCACAATGGACTATTATAGCTGAGAAGATCCACAAATACAGTCAGCTAATAAACACAAAGAGGAAGGCATAAAGAATGACTTTGTGAATCATTTTTGAAAACATGAACAGAGAAAAGGAACTCAAGCTAGTTGTCTTCATTCTGAATCGCCAACACTACTTTACACTTCTCAACATTATTAATATTGTTCATTTAAAAAACATTTTATTTTAGATTCAGATTCCTCTTTCATAACTTGAAGGCTAAAGTCCTGTACGCATCTCATTATAGACAGGGTGGACTGACTTTCTTAAAGAATTCCAGTAATAACACCTTGAACATTAGTATTTGGACTAGGTGACCTTTAAAGGTCCCTTCCAACCCAAACTATTCTATGATTCTATGCCATGATTTTCCTGTGGCCTATCAGTTGCTCTGTCAGCTAGTGGCTGAAGACTTCGAGCTATAGAAGTCCATGGGATCAAACCTTTTTGAACTCCAATTTGTGAAAGCAAGTTTGTTTAATCCTTCAGTAGATCACACAGATTCCCCTCTGCTGTCAAGCCATGCAAGTTAGATATACATCACATCCTTTACAAAGGAAAATGATCTGTAAGCAGCTGTCCCTCTCAAAGCAGGAAAAGTCATCACTTGTTGCCTTCTCAACAGGCATGAACAACAACTACAAGACTTGGTATAGACTGCACAAGCACATCTGCTAAGATTACCTTGAGAACAATTTTGTTGTCTGAAGTTGGTGTCCTTCCAACCCATAGAGCAAACTTGCAGGGATCTCCTTCTACATGTTCTGTGACACCCAGTTCAGAAGTCTGGAATCAAGAAAAATTTGTTAGGATGACATGGCATTTTTTTTCTTAGAAGCCACAAAGGGATGCTGATATTCTCAATAACTGAGCTCTGCTATTTAAAGAGACTTTTTAGAAGCTTAAGTCCAACTCATATGCTAGCGAGAATCCTTTATTCTGGTGGCAGTGGTGTTGTTTCTTCAAAAACGGAAGAACTGCAAGCTAAACATTTTTTCCTGTAAAGTAACAATAAACAATAGCATTTATAATCTGAAATACCAAAGTGCTTATTTTACATTTTTGACTTAATAAAAGCCTTGTAACGCTAAAGAAAGGTGCTTGGTAAAAAATAAGTGTTGGCTTCTCTCCTTGTTGATTTTCATCAGGGAACACTCATTACTTCTTGATTTTTAAGTTTTCTCTCAGATAAGATATGCTTAAGAATTTTCTTGATATCTTCAAAAACTCTGATCTCTTTTCTGCCAAAAGAGCCCTTCCTATTGTGTTTCCTTCCCTCTGAAACAGATGAAATAATCCCTGGAGAATTTTGTGGGATAGCTACATTAACAATCAGTCTTTGGGAATGTTCTGATGTCAGACCTTAATGGCTAATTATCATCCAAAATGTTTTCACTTTCCAACTGGAATAACATCTCAATCATGTGAATTGGCTTCCAGTTAAACAATTCATATAGGCTCTGCTCCAAAAAAAATTACAAACTAAGAAATACAGCTCAAACTACAAGAACCCTCACTCCAAATGACAGCTGCTAAGCATTCTTACATTATTAGAAGCTGTATTTTTCCCTTCGTATGCATCATCACTAGCACATACACAGCTCATTACAAGAGATGTTGGATACACAGTACCTGAGTAAAGGTAATTTTTTTCTTATCTCACTTGGATGCCAACTTGTTTTGTTGTTTAGTTTTGGGTCCGTCCGTGTCCGTCCCCTCTGTCGTCATCACGTCCCACCCCCCCCCTGCAACATCTCAACCCAACACATCCAACCTTTCAGCATTGTCGTCTCTTTTTGGTAAAATGGACTCTTCTTCATTGAAATACTTAAAAGTCTGTGATGTGTTTTAAACTTGACTCACCAACAACTCCTATGTGTGTTAAAAAGCTTGTAAAATACTTAATCCAACATTACATTATGTAACTCAAAGAAAATACACCCTACCACGCTACCCAATATAAAGTCTGAATAGGTAGGAGAGTACAGTTCTTAATGTTGTTTATTTTTTAAAGCCTAGTAAATTTAGAAGCCTTGGTACACTTGTGAATATAATTAATTTTACAAGGGACAACTGAGGGACAATGCAGTAGAGGTCTGCACAGTAAGAAATGGCAAAGCCAACATATGTTGTTCACTGTCCCTTTCAATGCTGGTAGGCATCAAGTGAAACTAGTAGGAGGGAGTCAGGTTGAAAACCCAACACATGGAGGTTGGCCTGCACCCAGTACGTAGTTGAGCAATACAACTCTTTGCCAAAGGATGCTCTAAATGCTAAAAGTCTGCATGAGGTCCAAGGACAAACTCACGGAAGAGAAACGTGTTGCAGGTTATTGAATCCACAGAAAACACATTCAGGTGAGGAAGCCCCTGAACCTCCAGTTACTGGTGACTGTAGTGACACCTGCTTGCCTTGTTCCCATAGCCCTCCTTAGGCATTTGCTTTTGGACACTTTATCTCTTGCCAAAGGAGTTCATGAACACATTCTTCCACTAATACAAGTCGTGCCATTGAGTATCCTATGCTGGAGAAACCATGATGGTCATCACGCCCAAAGTAAGAAGGACCTCACTTTTGTAACACCACCCTCCAGAGACAGGAGACAGGATAATGTGCAAAAAAGATCTTTAGCTCAAATCAACATGCATGCTTTCAATATCTGTATGAATACCTTTCCTGAAGATCAAACTATAAGAACTGCTATAACAGTAAGCTGCACTACAGGATATTTTGCCAAATAGAATATGAAGACAAAAAGATATGCTTTTATTTGAAAACTGAGGCACAATGAGAGTCTTCAAGATTCCCAGAAACTTCTCTAGGACCCAAGGCTATTACTTAATTCTTGCCAGAGGAACTGACATGACAAGCTTACGGGACCCATTTTTCAGCTCTGTCTCCCCTCCCATGTAATGCCTTGGCACCAGAAGTTTTTTGTATTTCAAGTTCTTGAGAACACCAAAGAAAGGTGTGATCAACAAAACAGCTGCAGCTGTGTTACCTGCTAGCTACCTTACATCAGGAAGGAGAGCAAGTGTTGGAAATGAAGTGACAGAATATGCAAAGTAAGATAGGGAAAAAAGAGGTCTTTTTGAACCAGCCTGCTTTACCAGTTTGGACACAGAGGTGGGAAGGGGGAAAGAATGAAGGAAAAGGAGCTGAAGCAGGGAGAAAAGGCTCAGTATTTGTACCATCTAGACTTAGTCATATATCCCAATAGGATCAATAGAAGAATGTCTTTTAGAGCATGATTCTGAAAACTAATTTCAAGTACTCATTCTAAACTGTCTAGTAGAAAAGCTAATCTTGCCTCCGACAGATGCAGAGCAAGCCATGGGAGACTGTCTTCTCATTTGGCTACCTAAATTTACAGAGTGTGAATACTGCTCTCAACCAAGTCATCCAATGAGACAGAAAAGGAAGGGTATGAATTCCAGGGTCACATTTTGTAAAGCATACGTGGTACAGATCAGGAAAGCAAGAGTGGATTATTTATTTTTTTTTTTTTAAATGGGGAGATAAACATTTCCATCTTTACATCCTTTCAGTAGACCATAAGAGCTATCATTTTATTTACAAAATATTATTGTAAGACTGCTAGTCTCAGTAGACTGGAATGAACTCTTACATAACAAGGAGTTCTTGCCTTTCCAGATCAGTATGTGTAGAATATCCACCCAAAATGAATCCTTACCATGGATATTACTACAACAGCAATAATAAACAAGCATGATGAAGGCAGCTTGTTAACGCCTTCCATCTTTCTGTTTTATACAAATGAGCCTTAAAGAACCAGCAATCATAGACACAATTAACACAAAATCAGTCCAGCCCAATCTTGATTTTCCTTTGTCCTGACACACCAAGATTGACACGTAGCCTTCAGTAGCTGCTTTCAGCCTACTCTTTCTCCTCAAAAGCATGACAAAGCAGCAAACTTAGAAGATTCAGTCTACACATTCCAAGGCTGCTTTTTCTGTCCACTATAATAGTTGTTCAAATTCTTCAGGGACATTTAAAATCATGTGAACTTAGTCACAGTCTATTCTAGACAGTTTTCTAAATACGATCACTTGTTCTCCCATACTTACGAACAGTTTACTCTTGTAAATGTACTTGCTCCTTCCACTGGAGTCCTTTACTTCTTTACTGAAAACCAAGGACATCTCAAAAAGGAAAAGGTGCCTCTCTCTTCCCTTTCGAATTAGAGTTTTAGGGTCCCACACTTGGAAGGATTCTTGAAGGATGAGCTCTCCCTGAGATTCTATATTTTCATCAAAGCCTAAAAACCCAGGGAGAGGAAAGGGTCATCATGAAAAGTTGATAATATGAGAAAATGAAAAAGCACAGCTTTTGTTTATTAAGCAATCTGATTTTTTTTTTCCAAATACAGCTTGCAAAAGATGGGATTCCAAGGAAGCAATACTAAAAACAAGACTTGATTTCAACATTGTAATATTCTAAATGTAACTGTAGCTCAAGTCTATGTCTAAATTTAGAGATCCAACTATTAAGAAGTTTATCAACTCTTCTGGCAATATTTCAACAAATAACAGGTGTCTCTATGTCAGCTTCTGGTAACCTCTTCCGTGATGAAAATGACTTCTCTTGTAAGCTTTCTGCCACTGTAGAAAGTGAGCAACTTGCAAGGACACAGAGACCACATCAGGTTGTTCTGACATCGGCAAGCTCCCAAATGCCACATTTTCCAGTGGTACACCTTCCCTACCATGTATGCAATGAGCACGCAAACATGTTCCAATAGGGGATGAGAAAAGATGGCAGCTTGGAGCTGTTGCCATGTGATCAGCCTGCTATTGAGTCACTCTAGCATTGATCCACAATACAGAAATAGCAGCTGGATTACTTATCTTGAGACATAAGATTGAGAATATCAATAATTTTACCTCCACTGTAGCAGTACAGTGTTCTCCCAGTTTAATATACAGCTTTAGAGTTGCAGCATAACAGAATTTAGTCTACCATACTCTTCTGAGTGGTATTAAACTGCATTTTAAATACATACTGCTTGCCAATATTCTCTGAACAGAAGAGCACCATCCTTCTTGAGAAAACAACAGTTCTCACTGTTCTAAACAGGGCAACAGTATGGAGAGCATCAGAGGCAAGTTGCATCAGGATGTTCATTCAAGATCCTCCAGAGACATAAAGAGGAAATGTACTCACTCACTATATTTGTCTAACATGGGATGACTCAACGATATACGCATGATTTCTTATAAAACCAAGTTATGTAAAAGATTAGGATATTCTCCAAAGTCGCATTCCCAGTGTTAAAAGATTATTACCAGTGCTGGTCAGCATTTATACTAACACCATCTCCTGAACAAAGCATTTGGAACTGATCCTGCAAACTGACCAACACTGCTGTTGTTTAAAATCAGGGAAGAACAGTGATTTTGAGCATTCACATGATCAAGGATCACATGTCAAACCAAGATGAGTTTTATAGTAACTTGCACGATACTGGAAATTCCATGACAAACTCCATTTTACTACTAGAAGGCAGAGAGGAGGAAAAGGAATATTGACTAAAAGCACCTGTAAGTCTTTATTCAGCAGCTGCAAGGTAAGGCAGCTCTGCTTTTATCTCAAAAACATTAAATGCCAGAGAAAAACACCTTTATTACTAAATGTATGATGGCACCATCGTACATGATAACGTGTCAATTACAAAACAGATTTTGGCAGAAAGTTGTTCTTAACACATAGAAGCAATTACATTCATCCTCTACTGTCTGCCATGAACGTGATTATGCTATTCTGGCTAAGGTTCAGGCTAAATTGGCTTATGCTGACATTTTACTGCCAGAATAGACATTTCTTTTCAACTATAAGTCTGTTATGGAACAGGCAGTAAACAGATGTGAAAACGACAAACTTCTTGGAGACAATTATTTGATACATAAATCAGCAAAATCACCTCTAATACACTTATGCTCCTCATATAAAGAAGCCAAGGATACTGGTTGGAAAATGTAGCTGAAGCTACTGTATCTGAGCATTTACCTATTACATTTTAGGCGAGTAGTGAAAAACTTTGTTAGCCTACATATTTTTCAAATCTGCAGTGGCAGAGCTATAGATCAGGATGAAAGAACATTCAAAAAATTAACAAAAATGTACCAGTTGTCTGTCACAATTCATTTTCCTAAATAAGTTTGCATTTTATATACCTCCAAATAAAAAGGCATATAAAATACAAACTCAGAGATAAGAAAATGTTCACATTCTTCAGATCTTCTTAACATATAGTAATATAAAAAGTTATTAAACAAAGTTAATCTACAGCATACGACTGAATTGGAAAGCCAGTTTGAATCCTACCTTCCAGCATGCTGAGGTGCATGGCATCATTGGCTCGCTTTGGCACACTAAGCATCACCTCCAGGCCATCCTTAATCTCACCTTTACCTTCTTCACAGCACGTGAGCAGCTCCTGCAAAAGACAAGCAGACATGAGTACTCTCTATCATGTGTTTCTACAGTAATATGATAGACAACCAAATACTACTTCTAACAAGCAAAGAATCATTTCTGGCATGTCAAATCTTTTTGAACATCTTACTCTGCCAATGACATGACAGCATACTCATTATTTATCATGATCTGTTCTTCAAGGAGCAGTCCAAGCTTTCAGTTAACCACTTCTAATTTAAACAAGATCATCTGCTTAATAAGAAATCCTTAAAAGTTACATTAAGGACAACACTTTTTCTGATAAGCACAGACACAGCTGTCGGATGCAGCACTACATCAACACCCAGAACAACGCAGCTGCTAAGTCATGAAGATGGTGGAAAGCAGGACAGCACCAAAGGACCGCCCCCCCATCTCAATCTTTGCTCCACTGCACTGAAGACCTGCTCTGTACCACTGCTGATAAAAGGATTTACATTGTTTCATTTCAAGTATTCAGTGAATTACTCTATTTCTGCGTTCACACAGTTAAAGCATCCTACAGACAAAACTTCTGAATACAAACAAACATTAACTAATGGACAGAAGTTAGAGAATGGCATATATGCCGAAACGCTTTAGTGGAATTTAGGGCAATGCAGCTCCCTGCCCATTCAGCATCCCACCGATATTAACATAACAGCCCCCGAGCTGATATGCAAATTTCCTCACATCCTTTGAGCATTTGAACAGTATCAGGATAAAATGCAGCTTACGTAACCAAAAGGGCATATTGTGTTCCTTCTATTATTCAAAAGGCCTACTTAATTCATTCCCTCAGGTTGAATTCCCTTTTCCTTTTTAAAGGGAAAGCCAGGTGATTCCTACTATTATCATCATTACACTACTTTAATTTAACTGCCAATACCACCATCACAGAAAAACACCCCATCATCACACTTAAATTTTGCATCGCAACGCCACAGAAAAGTGAGTGTAACTAAGTATCTTCCAGGAGGCACAGAAGATAAGCAGCTTCAATACCATTTGGAAAAGTAAGCAGAACTTCTAGAATTGTAAATTGCTTCAGCTATTGTTCAAGTTTTGGGCTCTCCATCTTTACATGTTTTACGTCTCTCTTCTTATGGGGGGAAAAAAAAAAAAAAGAAAAAGAAAACCCAGCAACCACCACATAAATCCATTTTACTATGCAGCAAAGCCATCTGGCTCTGCAAAGACTGGTGAAATCGATCTATCCCATCACTTCAATAATGTACTGGCTAAAGCATATTTAGATTTTAAAAAAATAATGGTTGGAATCAATACCCCAGAGTTTCTGAAACAGCACAGCCTAGAGTATTTCTGTAAGTTATAACTTAGTCAAGTACAACTTTGTGCAAGTGGAGAACAGACAATATGTTTCAGTTAAAAATGACAGGCTTGTTTCCATCCAACTTGACCTGAAATAGACTGAAATGTTTTCCAGAAATTTTAAAAACAATCATCCATGGCAGTTCTCAAGTAGAAAGGGGAGATACAGATCAGTTACAGTGCTTTTGTAGGCAGCTATTACAAAACAAGCAGTGCTACCTAACAGAGACCCAGCACAGTTCAAGAACACTGCTGCTCAGTCAACAAGACATCTGTCCACTGAGTGAAAGCTCTAACAGGCTTCCAAAAGTTTTGTTTATTTTAACATCTACTATTTACTTGACATTTCCAGTCAACATTACAAGTAAGAACTGTTTGTGCAACAGCCCTATAGGTACTCAGTGTGTGTGTATACACACACACACACATATATATACACATATATATATTTATATATTTTATAGATATTTTATATTATAGTTTATATATATATAAATATATAAAATTTTATATATCTTACAGTACTTAATACCATAAACATAGCTAATGGCTTGCCAAAATTTCTTGCAGAAACCATTACAAAAATGCGCCTGTCTATATGGCCATGAATTACTTTTTTACTCTGGAAATGCAAATTACATTTTCTAAGTAAACATTAGTAGAGAGATATCTTTTTTGACTTACAGGAGTCTGGACAAAATGTTGCTTATTTATACCTTTTCATTTTCAGTGGTCTCCTAAAAAATATCGCAGCAATATTTCAGGCTGCCCAGGATGCTGTAGTCTCAGACTGCAGAGTAAAAAAAGCCCTCCTGATTTCAGCAAAAGCTTTGCCTTCGTAAGAACAGCAGAATCAGATGAAGAACTTCGAATTAATACTGACCTTTAACAGAAGCTGATATTTTGTTATCCTTTGGACAGGCTTGATCAGGTAAGAAGAGATAGAGTTGGCCAGTCCATGTCGTTGCTGTATCTCCTACATGAAAAACACAAATATTTGAGGACTGTGAGCACCAACACTGAGATATAGACTGCTTTGTGGGCTATGCAATAACATACGTTAACTACAAATTTTATTTTAGCAAGGAGAAATAAAAAAAAAAGACAGGATGACAAGATATTCCAGCTGCAGCAAATGGTTATGTGTGCATCTGCCTGCTCACTTTGTATAAACAAAAGATTATTACCTCCAACGGTACCTGTGAAGCATTTCAACAAACCTAAATACAAATAGCAATGGTTAGGGATATCGAACATGTGGCAACGCCTTTTTTCAAAAAAATTGAAATCTGTATTTCTTTTGTTACTCGCAAGAGAGAAAAGAAACCAAACTTCAGTGTTCCAGGAAACAGCCAGGACTGTCACAGGAAGGCTGAGGCGGAGGTTTCTTAGCATCATCTGCTAGTTTCAACTGTTCGTAGTCACAGAAAGCATTTTCCCCCACAAGGGGGAGCACGAAGTAACATTTGCTAACTAAAGGAAAGAGATTAACGAGCACTTAAAAAGAACACGGCCACTTACAAACAAAAAAAGAATGACCTCCACAAAGCTAAAGGAGTAATACAGAATTAGATGATAATTAGATGGGATAATTACAGATTAAATACTGATCATGGTTGAACTTCACGGCCAGTGTTTGCCATTTATCACAGTGTCAGGTATATTTTAGCCTCACAATTTCAAACAGCAGTTATACACGGCAGCTATGTGCTTTCTAACCATCATTACAGCATCAGAAATTCCCAAGATGGGATACACTGGTCCACTGGTGGACAGTGGAAGCTTTTGAAGTTGCCTGTGCACAGAATTAGGTCTTTACACTTCTAATCCACTTTAGGTGGATTAGGGGATGGAGAGCTCTGGATACACCGGTTAAGACAGAGGGATGAAAGGAGGCGGTGGCAAGAACATATTTCTAATATGGTTTTATCAGAGCCCCTTGTTATTTTTTTACAATAATATTTACTAAATTTTATTTGAAATTTTTTTGTCATATCTGCCTGATTTCCCGTAACTTGTCTGTTGTTCTTCAAGCACTGAAAACTTAACAGAGGCTTCACAGAAAGGCTTTACCTTACAATGTTTAGAATTCTCATCTCCTCAGTGATAGACTTTTGAAATTAACCCCAAGAGCTTCAATGATTTTTTGTTCGTTTGTTTTTCATTATGTCCTTCCCTCTGCTTCTACAAACAATTCTAAAAAAATTTGTGGTGTCACTACACAGCTGGTGGCTCAGCACAGTGGAGCAGGCAGCAAAAAGGGGTAGAGAGCACTGTAATTGAATCATCTGTAAATACACATTCAACCAAAGCACCCCAGCAAATGCACAAAGTGCTTCAGTGTGGCCAAAATTCCCCAGCTAGTGTGGTTCCCTAAAACCTTAAAGAGCTGCTACCTTTTGGTCCTTTCTTAAGCGGAATATTATATGTAGACCAAGTAACCTAGGAACTGAACAAGCAAACTGGGTGGTTTAGCAGCTCTGAACAATGCCAGTCAACTGAATTACCACTACATTCGATTACAATTTAAAGGTGCTCTAACAAATTTAACAAGGATTTCCATCTTCATTACATACAATGCAAACTAAGTGCATCAAAATGCTAAGATCTGCAGAATGTGCACGTAAGAGCTGAAGATTCATGTCTCAGCTGTTGCTGCCTGAACCTGCTTCCAGTTCTGAACTGCTCTGATATGCGACAGTGACTTTTTACATTTGATTTGACAGCTTTATGAGACCAACTGAACAATATAAGTTAACCATGTGAGATACATGATTGATTTTCTCAAGCTGATGCTAAATTGCAGCATTAGTACCAGGAAACTTGCATCTTCTTAAGAACTTAGGCACTCAGCATAACTGCAAGTACATGATTCAAACTGCCAAGGCATACTTTTAAAGATGGACACAAAGTACTTACATCGAAGTACGCTCCTGCATGTTCTAGTATCAGCTGGGTAGAATCTGGCTTATTTTTACAGTAAGTAACGTACATTTGGAATTTGTCTGCCTGCAGAACAAAATGCAAATTTACATAGGTTATCAGAGAGCATAATTTCTGTCTCAAGAAGTTTTTACGCAGTTATCAGAGAGCGTATCTCCTCTCAAGAAATTAAGCTATAAGAATTTTTTCCCATTCAAACTGGCAGCATAAGAAAATACATCAGGCAAGACTGAAAACAATAGCAATGCATGCAAAACCAGGTTATTCATAGCTAAGATACCAAACCAAATCTGAACACAGGTTTAGGTACCTTCCTTAACTTCAAGAGCAGCTAAGCATTGGCATCTGACAGCAGTGACTTAATTTTTTTTCTTCTCAGTTAAAGATACAAACATTGTTACTCAAATCTGAAGGAAGAGGTACTTTCACAAATTTTACAAATTAAAAAGGGACCTGAGAGCAAGAATCCATCCCTTCATGCTTCCTATCTCTCTTGTTACTTCTAAACATAAGTGACTTCATTACCCATGTAACAAAGCAGTGTCCAACATCTTCTGGTAACTGTTCATATTTTTCCAGCTCCTTGAGGAATATACTATGGGTAGAAAAGAAACAAATAGTATAAGGCACACGCAACATTTTCATTAGGGCAGCTTATATTGATCTAAATATTACATTGTCTGTGAATAAAGGCGGTTGGAAAACTTGCTGTGATTCATACCAACAGCATGAGTTAAAGAAATAAAAGATAACAGGAATGGATAAAAATATGTAATAACAGAACTAATATAAAATGTAATTCAATACAAATTCTGATGTGAAGATCAGAAATTGATCCAGTAGACACGCAGTTAACACGTAAGAGTACACAAATTTAATAACTGATGTTGTTCAACATCAAGAAGGTTTCCTACTGTTTCAGTTTCAAGGAAAGTTTAGCCTTCATCTCAAGAGAAAACGGAGGTGACTTGCTTTTTGCATGCTCAAGTTAACACACGGCATACAGAGGAATGTAAAATCAGGTTCTGGAATATGCTAAATTAAAAGAATCATAACCCAATACAAATGCCAATGAATTAACAGAGATGGGAGATTCAGAACAAGAATTCTGTATACACATCTGCCTAGGAACCATTCCACTCAGAAGAAATGTAGTGGACAAGCATCTTTCATGCTCCGTACTCAACTAAATGTAACAATGGTTTCAACAAGTACATTTCATGCTCCATACTCAACAATGTAACAGAAGCTTCAAAGAGCCAAGGAAGAGGAGGGAGCCCTACTGTTTCCCACTAGCAGTCGCACTTGGAGATCAGGAATGAGGGTTCTGAAGGAATGACAGAGTCTTTAATTGATGTTTATGCTATATGTGTGTTCTGCTGAGTTCAGTTGTTTCCATCTCTTTAGGACAACTGAAAAACCTACAGCAAAATTTTAACGTAACCTAATAATTTCTTAAAAGCTGAAAGATGTCTGAGACTAAAAAAGACAGACCTACCTGGCTGCAAAAACCAACAACTGAAACAATTTAGCAATGTTAGAATAAATCCTTTAGGTTTTTTTATAGAAAAGCATCCATCATTCATACGCACAACATTTTTACTAGGAAATCCCTCAGGTCATCATTTGGATTTAGCAGTAATATGGAAATGGAAGATAAGTTACTCACTTATTGTGGAACTCATAGATTTCCTGCATGTTTCCAAAGATAATGTGTTCTTTGTTTACAATACCAGGTGGGATCTCCTCAACTCCGCTTGTCATTTCCCATAGATATGTCTGCCCAGAACAAAAAAGATGCACTAAAGTCATAATAAACTCTCAACAGAAGCACCCAGGTATCTGTAAGCATTCATTCCTGGAGAGAAATCGGGGAAAGATCACGCAGCATCATCATCTCCAATTGTGACAGTACCCGTTGTGTCAAATATACCTTGTGATTTTGACAGTAAAATCCAAGTTCTAAAACTGACAATTTAACACAGTCCCTGAGACTTCATCATTTAAAATGCATAGTGTTCTTGACAACCTCTAATGCTTCAGGATATTCCTTATCAAGGTCATGTCTGCAGTCTAGAAGTTCATGCTTTGTGCAACAGCTAACAGTGAACAGTACTTGCTTCAGCGTAACAATTACTGGGCACTTTTCCATGGAATCTCTCTGAATTTCTATTCAAAAAGTCAGCTAGTAGCAGAACATGTGATACAGATAACAAAGGAATTAACACAAGCTCTTCTCTATTGCTAGCAAAGCAAATAAAGTAAACACCTCTTTTTTCCCCTCCCCTCTCTAAAACAAAAAAACCCACACGTTTTTGAATTGGGAAAAGACCAAATGATTAAACTCAGTACTGACAAAAGCAAAACATACATGATGCATACTGAAGTGGCTGTTATCAGTGTAATTCTACGTTTCTTCTTAATAGCAGAAAGATACTTAATTTGGTCCTATGACTGCAAACCAATCATGCCTGGCGTTAAAACCAGAAAGAAACAGAAAGCAATGGATTGAATTCTGTCTTCAAAGATTAGTGAAAAAAAGAAAACTTACATCCATGCATTCCCGGAGGTCTCTCACGTAAGCCTTTTCTGTCTGAATTAGCTCAGCCATAATGAACCTTAGGTGACAACAGAAAGAATAATCAAATCTCAGTCTGTTAGATCATTATGAATGCATAATAACCAGAATACATCTTTCTCCTCATCAGCTTTTGCTTTTTTCACTGCTGCAAAAGAAATCTGAGAACTGAAATATGAAGAGAGAACAACAGATGAAGGAAACATAAGAGGTAACATCCCTCCATTACTAACTAGCGCAAAAAGAAATGGGGAAGGAGATGGAATTTTTTCTCAGATGCTTTTCACTTCCTGCAGTCATTTAACTGTTGTCCTCCCTCCTCCCCTTATACATTTATTTCACATTATTTTTAAAAAGAGAAAGCATATTAAAAGAAGTCTAACATAGTTTTGAAAGTTTAAGATTCTGACATGCTAGAATTATCTGTGAGAACATGCATGTGAATAAAAGCAATAGGAGCTATTGAGTAACATCACTCTCTTTTTACCATTTATCCGATTTCTAAGCTGCCAGACAAGCCATGACAGTTGTTTCATTATCAGGATTGATTTATGCATTCTCATTGATTAAAAATAAATAAATTTATTACTCTTTTCTGCGGGCAGACTTTCGTTTTTCTTCATTAAGCTCATGAGCAGCATCACGCAGTTTCACCTCTGACCCAGGGACACTGGCTGGTATTATATCCAGCTGCAAGCTTTTGCTCTTTAGTAAAGAAAGGAAGAATTAATTCAGGAAGGAGACAACAGAAAATGATAGCTAAATCAAATGCAAGCAAAGCTTGTTTGTCTGTCATCACACTCAAATTTCTCTTACCGATTTATTGGAATCCGAGGAAATACCCAGAGCTTTCTCTAAAGAGGTCCTGTATTTCTCCATGCGCAGGGAAAAGTCTCTGTACCTCTTATCCACTGCTGTGACACATTTTTTAATCTCTGTTGCATGAGCATGCCCTTTTTCACAAAAGCCATCAGCCAGCTGTATCAACAACTTCACCCTCTCTTTGGTTTGCTATGAAAACAGGAAAATATCAAAAGAGTTACTAGATCTACCTGTCATGAAGGGAGTCATTTTGCTTAACCTGCTCCTAAGCGCAGTTGGAGAAGCCATCAAAGGAGCTAGCTTCCTCTTCTCTCTATTCCCAGAACTCCTTTAAACAGATACCTTTTTCTTAATAAAAATAGCACAAGATGAATATAGGTTTCCTTGGGTTTTATTATTACATGACTAGAAGCAGGTTGGTTATTTTCCTTTCAAAAACGTGCTCGTATCTAACCCAGAGATTAAATTCTGCTAGGCAAGCTTTTCAGAGCACGAGTATTCTCCTCACATCAATACAAAGGGGGTTTGATGCCAAAGAGGATATTTTGTTCATTACCACTGAAGCCCGGGTATTGGACCTGGCCCACAGCCCCAGGAGTCTACCTTCTTTAGAAATCACTGAAATGTTGAGATGGAGGTAAGTCTTGTTATAGGCTTTACACTTTAACGGATTAAGACTATATTCTTTAGATCTTTTTTTATGTTATGTTATGTTGTCACACAGTTGTTTGAGAGAAACTAAGAAAACAAGTACCCACCACCAAACCTGTAATTAAGCACTTTTCCCAACTAACAAGCTGCCTAAGACTATGCACTTTCTTTCATGTAAATCATAACTTATCCACAACAGGTGAGTTTACACCTCCACCCCTCTCTCTCTCTCTCTCTGATACCATGTCAGAGTAAAGTGTACTGTCAGGGTCTTTGGTAAGAGGGAATGAAGCAAAACAGTCAATAAGAACTTGGCTTTTTTGTGTCAGTTGGAAAATCAACAGTTTGTCCTTTTTTTTTTTTTTTTTTTTTTAAATTTTTTTTTTTTCCTAAACATCCTCCGCCCGACTCTTTTTTTCCTTTTTTTTTTTTTTTTTTTTTTAAATTATTTTTCTTTCCTAATAGTCCCTCGCCCGAGCATTTCTTTTCACTATGGAATTAGCATGGGCTAATACATCCTCCCAACAGGTAGCCAAACGCCAAGGGAGTGGCACTAACAACATCCTTTCAAAGAGGCACCCACGTCACCGCTGACTGACAGAGGAAACAAGGGGGGCAGGGGTGCTCTGCATGCTGGAAGGGATCCAGCAGAACAAAGGCTGGAACAAAACCCAGAAGGAAGAAAATCTGGGTTTGAAAAGCAAAAGTGATCTCTGTTCTTTCTGGATTCTCTTTTCTCCCCTCCCACATGTCCCATGACCAACTCCATCTCCAAGTCTCTTCTCTTCTGAGGCAGTCCTTCAGACAAATGAACACTTGCTTACTTTCTTGGGCTCATTTTTTCCTCTGTGAAGATTAGAAAGCCAAGATGTGGAAACAGGTGACAGTTTGAACAGGTGACAAAACAAAACACAGAGAGAGACGAGGTTACGTAAGCTCAGGTACTGAGGTCACGCCCTGGTTGCCCCTCTTTCACATGTGAAAATTTTCAAGCCTCACAAGTGACATCTGCATCTCTGTATAGGCCTCCAAAGATGTACAATACCATAATGCTGCCATGGCTCAAAAAGTTACAGCAGAATCACAGAATACTTCAATAAAATGAGTAACCTAACAAGTAAAGCTTTAATTTTTCTACTATCTTCTAGTTAAATCACAGCTGAATAATAATATGCCTTGCTGTATTTTATATCCTAAATGAACATGCAGTAATCCACAGACATGAGGATATAAAAGTGGAAATCAAAGGCCCTGAAAGGTTTGTAGGTTTTTTTTAAAAACATTTTTAAGCTATCTCACTACAATTCTGTCACAAGAAATCAACTACACATAGGGCTGATGGAGCTCCCATAACAGTGATTCTCTTCTGATTATCTTTGGTTTTATTCTGTTCCCAGCAGAAATACAGAGAGAAAGCCACTACAAGTAAACAAATCTCGATGGACACATCCTTGGGTTTTTTTTTAGGCAGGAGGGGGGAATTTGGGTTGTTTTGGTTTTTTTTAAATCTTACTTAATTTTATTTATATATTTTACCTTTGCTGTGATCTGAAATTCTTCATGTTCTTTTAACAACTCTTGAGTGTGCTGGATACTGGAGCCAGTAGAAGTATGTGTGGATAAATAAAACTCCCCATTGTCATGAATCCATTCCAGAGCCTACATAAAGCAATAATGAAGTAAAAAGTAAGAAAGGCGGCAACATATTACTGCCAACAGAAACCATCTGTAATCAGTATTCCACAAACACAGACTGGCCATAGGCAAATTTTATTTTCTATCATGTCACTCGTGGCAATAATCTAATACCTCAACAATATCAAATAATTCATTTAGTCTATGAAGCAATGCTTAAAGAACTAAAGAAAAACAACTGACACATGAATCTGAATACTTCAGGGAAGTCCACTACTACAGGACTATAGCAGTCCACTATTAAAAGGATCTAACTGATGATGTCTACAGTTTTGTTAATATATTCCCCAACTGAGCAAAAATCACTTTTTTGGTGCAACACAAGACAGCTGTACTCAGAAATATTTTCCAACTTGTAAAAATGTATATAAGACTGCCAAATGTGTAGGCTAAACTTTCCAAGCATGTAAGATTTAATTATCATTTAATTCTTTAGCTGACATGTATTCCAGCCTTACTAAGTATGGTCTGTAGTTAGATGTACTCCTAGAAATTAAACCTGCAGCAGAGGAGGAATGGCGAGATGTATCAGTTAAACCAATGAATGTATGTATAGGTAGTAAAAGACAAGAACTAAGAATGGCAATCTAAAATTGTTTCCCTTCCACATCCTGGCACCTTACTCTCTCACTATTACGAACCATGCCGATCCAGGTTATTATTATATTCTGCCCACATTAGTATTTCCTGCCCTTTTAAGCATAACTCAGTGATTTTGAGGAATCCTACTCTCT